AAAAACTCACCTTGGTTACCTTCCTCATCACTGGAAGAAGCAAGATAACAGACTCGCCTTGGTTACCTTCCTCATCACTGGGAGAAGCAAGCTAACAGACTCACCTTGGTTACCTTCCTCATCACTGGAAGAAGCAAGATAACAGACTCACCTTGGTTACCTTCCTCATCACTGGAAGAGACAAGATAACAGACTCACCTTGGTTACCTTCCTCATCACTGGAAGAGACAAGATAACAGACTCACCTTGGTTACCTTCCTCATCACTGGAAGAGACAAGATAACAGACTCACCTTGGTTACCTTCCTCATCACTGGAAGAGACAAGATAACAGACTCACCTTGGTTACCTTCCTCATCACTGGAAGAGACAAGATAACAGACTCACCTTGGTTACCTTCCTCATCACTGGAAGAAGCAAGATAATCTTGCACATCAAGTTTCATCACTTCATCTTTGTCAAACTTCTTTGTCGTCAAGGCAAGACGATCTCTGTTCGTTTCATCCCAAGTCAAGTGTACCTGTGTCTGTTGTAAGGCTGATGAGATGAATGACGTGGGTTTGAATGTAGCAATATCTACATTTTCGGAAGATACAGACGTAGGCACATCCTCAAATTCCATATCTTCAGGAATAAATCTGTGAGAAGACATTAAATACATCATACAAACTTCAGTAATTTAAACTCGCTCAATTGCAATAACAGCGAGCACTGTTTGAAACTGTCAATTCAGGTAACGTTGAATTTAAATCCTAGATTCAGTGTTGAACTTGGGTTGAAATTATTTACAAACAGACTGTACATTTTGGGCACATACTTTACTGCACTGTTTCTCTTACTTCCTATATTGTTTGCAATTCTAGTTTCATGTCGCAATAGTGTTCATGAAAAAGATTTAAAAGAAATAATAAATGAAATAATTCCATGCTATACAACCCATACTGCTCCGATCGTATTTATTGGTTAGATTTTTTTGAATAGTTACTTAGGACAATGATTACCAAATATTATCTGCTATATGTCATTTAATTCAAGTGGTTCCACTGTATAGAGAACAAGTTACCAGACAGAGTGTTTACCTGAGGTCCAGTTGTGTGGCACTGCTTTCATACTCCATACGATCACATTGTTCGTATATTGTATTGGCTGTAGTAGGGGAATCGCACTCCACCACGGCGTAGTAATATTTCAACCTGAAAAATGATTAGAATCAGAACAACCATAAATGCTGCACCAGATGCACCATAATTCATCCAATCACCAAGTGCTGTACCAGGTGCACCATAATTCTGTCAACCAATCACTGAATCCCGTCCCAAGTGTACCATATTTCTTCTAACCACAAGTGTCGTCTCAAGTAAATAATTCAGTTAAAGCAAGCTAGTTATAGTTTCTCACACTGAAATGCCTAAATAACAACTACAAAATCACCTCTGCATTTGGTAGTGCCGTAGCCGCTCTGTTTGGTATTTTTCATCATCTTCGTCATCAAAATACTTCTTTGCATTTTCAACCAACTCTTTAGGACCTTTCAAATCCTCCTCTTTCATTCTCTCCTTTCCAAATTCCGATGGATAAATCTGAAAAAAAAAGAAAAATATACACAACATTTTATTTTGTGTATGCAGGCATCTGATAGTGGTTGCTGCAACCCAAGGACCCAAGCCGCCAACATCATACTGACTCACGATTTACAATGCATCGGGTGTATATTGACAGAGACTAAATCACAAACTACTTTCAGATTACTTATCTCATTAAGGTAATTCATATTGGTTAGTGGAATTTTGACATGTGTTAATACAGACAAAATTGTTTTCCTACCTTTACTGACTTAATAATCCCTCCAGTTGGTTTAAATGAATTAAACATGATTAATAAATCGTTGGCTTTAATCCGATCCCAGTCCATGTTACACACAGCAAGTCTACAAGTAGCCTCCGTGGTGGATCCTGCATCAGCATCCAACTCTCCCCATTTGTGCTCAATTTCGATCTCATCTTCAAATTCAAACTCCTTCATCACTATCCTTTGAACTATCTCCATGGTTACCATTAAGTTCACCGGTGCCGCCTTCTTCATCTGAGCTGCTTTCATCATCTTCCTCCTCTTCTGAACTGGTTTCTATATTACCTTTTCCTCGGGCGAGATCAATGGAATCGTCATCGTCTTCGGAACTAGTTTCGATATTACCTTTTCCCCGGTCAAGATCAATAGAATCATCGTCTTCTGAACTGGTTTCTATATTACCTTTTCCTCGGGCGAGATCAATGGAATCGTCATCGTCTTCAGAACTAGTTTCGATATTACCTTTCCCCCTGGCAAGATCAATAGAATCATCATCCTCTGAACTTTGTTTCTTTCCAAGTTTTGTTTTTGCCCTTACAGATAGTGTATCGTTCTGATTCACTTTAGAGTGTATTTGCAGCCTCTGCTTTGGTACTTTCTTTTTTCCAACTTTCAGTGAATTTTTTGAAGTTTTTTGATCTTTAACAGCAGCAGCTGTATCTTTGACCAGTTTTTTTTTCTTTGATTTTGTTATCTTCTTTTTTCTTTCTTCTTCTTCCCCCTCCTCCTCCTCATCTGAAGAGGAAGAATCTGATAGTTCATAATATTTCCTCAAATCCTCGTTAGTTGACAGATTGACTGGACGACCTCGTTTGTCAACTGTATATTTCTCCTTAAAACGTTGATCTCGAAACATCCCTTGGAATCGCTTGTCAATTTTGACTTTACGCTCCAACCGCGGCATTTTTTGAAACCTGGGATCCTGTTTGATATGAGCGAATCGCTCATCTTGAAAGATGTCTGAGTCATTTTCCTTAGTCATTGCTGTTGTTGGGAACTGTTTAATGTTCACAAAAATACAGTAGTGTTTATTTAAATACAAGTCAGTCTTGTAGCTGGTATTAGTATCAGCACATTACCTGTTAGGAAATAATAAAAAAAAGTATTTCAATAATAAAATATCATCTGTTCAGAGGAGTTGATAAAATTTATTTATTTATTGTTATATTACTGTCATTCATAGGATCTAAATTGGCTTCAGTTAGAGTGCTTAGATTGTGTTGTTTACTATAAATTTGGGGAACTTGTTTCTACCAGTCGCAATTATGACACCAATTTTAACTTATTATTAATTAAACAAAATCTAATCATCCTGACAAGAACCATTCCTGTAAATTCAATTGTAAACAAAACCGAAATCAAAACCTTAACAAATAAAATCTGTGTGCCACTATGAATACGATCTGAAAAACAAAATGTCGTGCATGTTGTATGTACCCGATTTGAACAAAATCTGTCCATACACAATGATGGATGGACAGACACTAGAACACAAACATACTGCGGTCAATCCATAGTCCCATTTTTGGTTCCAAGCGAAGACTAATCAAAACAGTCCAAACCAAATCCTGTTGACAAGCCGTATCGGTCATTGGTAAAAACTACCTCTTTATGATTTGGGTTCTGGAGATAAATACATGACTATGTTTAACAACTATCGTACTACTCGTACATATTTTTTGCCTTTTCGACTAAAGTTGATGATTGTTAAATGACTGTTAGGTATTTCACCTACATTATTTTGAATGTCGTTACTCAAAAAAGCAGCCATTGTGGAGGCTACACTTGAGGTTTATCCATTAGGTATTAGGTTTGGAACATCACGCTGGAGGCCTTGTGACGTAACATGAAAGACCTCTATAGTAGTAACTTTAGTATCAATGATTACATCTTGTTTAAGCTCCATCATTCAGCATTTCCCCCTCAAAAAAGGAGAATTTACCAGATTAGAAGACAAATGTAGGTCACGGTCAGGAGACAATACCCTAGGGTTCAGGTTAAGGGTGGTGGGGGCTCTTGTTGAAGGAGAGGACTGGACGGATTTAGAACTGCCCAACAACGAACTCTAGTCTACGTTTATTTTGGGGGTGGGTCAGCCAATGATTACACACATCATAAATAGGCTAAAAGTCTCCTGATTGGGAAATATTCTCCCAATATTTTAACCTAATATGTTCACACCAGAAACATTCATTGAGAAATTTGTCAAAAATAAACTAATGTAATTATTAATAACTGCCGAGGGTCTCCATTTCAGAGAAAGGTGTGTTGCTGTCATCAAAGGCCGCACACGAGCATTGTTGGTCTGCTGGTAATGTAGATTTTTACTTACGATGTATACTGTGATCTGTCCGTACGTAATCAGTTAACACAACATTACAGTCTGTAACCGAACTGTGGAAACCCTAACACCATTGCAACACGCTACAAAACACATGGCGGAAGTAGTGATTGCGCATGCTCGGTATATGACCTCTACTAAAAAAAAAGATCGAAAGATTGTATGGACTGTAGGCTCGCGAGAAACTTGGTGGTTGTCAGAGACATCAGTACAATACTTAAAATCCGGTTGGTGTCTATCCTTGTACACATTTTGTTGACTTAATCATGACTTAAAAATATTGTAATTAGTTTTAAACTAAACTAATTAAAAACTGACAGTTTGTCACTGCAAGTTCAAGTTTTTCACAATATCTTGGTTTGGTTTTTAAATCGTTCAAAACTACATGTAAATGAATGGCAATTTTTATTCGTTTGCTTGATACAATTTACTACACTGTTCACTGAGAAATGTAGTGGTTTCCTAGTTTGTTTCATCATTGTTTTCACTGTGTCTGGAAATAAGGTGAATGATGAATAGCGCCACCTAGTGGTGAAGTTTGGTAACTATCGGGTAGACTATCAATGATAGCATTGATAAACTAGACACTTATTGTACAATGATTTCATCCAAAAACTAAACAGTCCTGTGGGGTATCCCAGGTCACTTATGTTCCAAATTTCATTGAAATGTTATGATTGATTCCCAACATATCAGCGGGAAATTGGTTAATTATGCAAATTAGTTTACTAGTACTTAGAAAGCACGATATTAATACAAAATTAATCAGGTATTTGCATATTTTCAAGAGCATCTATGTACCAAGTGATGCGATGATTAGTACTTGAGATATTAGTGGAAAGATGAGATGAGAAACAAGGTTATACATGGAATAAAATTTTATTTCATTTCTTCTCTCCTATCAATGATCTCACTTACATTTCTTTGAGAATCACACAAATCTAATGGAAAAAAAGAATTAATTTTATTTATTTTTTTTCGCCCTCCTCAAAAAAATTGCCTTATAAAAACTCGAGAAACAAGGAATAAAAAAAGTCTGGCCTAACGGTCGAACAGACATACATACAGATATACAGATAGGGTAACCGCAAAGACTCCCATTGTATGCTTCGCACCTGGGAGTTAGAGGTGTGAGTTTTACATTTTCTATGTGATATGACATACAACAGTGGTATGTTATGCAATTGGCCAGGTAATGCTAATTTAAATAAACTAGCCTATTTTTAGATTTTTCATAGATAATAACTATCAATGAAACTAGATACACAGGAGCTCCGAAGGTAATTCATGGGAGGGATTAGTTAAGGGTTGCATATTGTTTACCTAATTTGCATATCTGATATCTTAAATATTTAAATGAAACTTGTTGCACAGGTGGTCTGGAATAAATCAGACTGTAAAACAGAAATGTACAATCAAATGTATTCATTTTGTTTAAATAACAATTTTCTGTGCATATCATAAACTTCAATATTGTGGATCACATTGTGCATCTCAAATAGCAGACGAATATTAGTCATCAGGTGTTTAAATTTTGAAAAAATGTTAACTGTTTTTTACTTCATGTGCCTCTAATGCTCAGTGGACATATATCTGTAATGAATCAAATTTTATTTCTACCATACAAATTTGTTTTATGATAAATTAATAACATTAATGGCAATTATTGTTTGATGAACAACATTGTGATGGATCAGTCAACAATCCGTGTATAGTTCCGCTGAATTTCAGGTTCATCCAGGAAAATTATTTCATGTTGTTGTAAAAGCTGGATACAGGTTGATAGACTACACACACAGATTAATTATTCACTCAGAGTTTATACTGAGTCATTTAAGTCAACATTTCTAACAAAGAACCGTTGACAAATATGAGATACTGCTGGACAAAAGTTGTAGTTTTTGCCAGCATTGAAATACAGACAAGATGTGGTTTTGGAAATATTATCAGAAAAATTTATTTGCAGTAGTATGATAAATGGCTTTTAAACTTAGCTTCTGCATGTTCTAAGTGAAATGGGAAACTTGAATCAAAACTAAAACTAAACTGATGATAAATTATCTTCTTGGAACACTACTTTGTAGTCATTTTATTCAACTAACTTCTTAGAATTACATTACAAGTTAATTACATTGATGTCATTAATCCAATACATAACTCGTTAATACCCGGGTATTAGTTGTCCCACCGTGTCATATTCGATATGGGACCAATATAGAACGCTTGTTTTACATGAAAATTTGATTACCGTATGTGCTGCATGACGGCTCCTGTATATCCCTTTAAAGTTAGGCAAAGTGGAGGGCTGCAGCAAGTCAAGTTAGGCAACTCCACTATAACACTGATTGGTGTATATAAAATCAAGTTAGGCAACTCCATAAATACTTCAGTCAGTCGAGTTAGGCAACTCCAAGAAAAAATGCTGTAAGTCAAGTTAGGCAACTCCACTATAACACTGCTGATCAGTTAAGTTAGGCAACTTCACTCTACAAGGGGGGGGCTGCAATTCAAGTTAGGCAACTCACAACAACACTGCTGTAAGTCAAGTTAGGCAGATCCACTGGAATACCACCTGCCAATGTTATACCGCAGTGCTATTCAAATAGCCTGGCTATTGAGAATTGTTTACACAGCTCAGTTTACCCAATCACCAAAGCTCAATCATGTATTTCAAATTGAAGTAGCCAACCGTAAGCAGCTGCCCTGACAAAAATTTTCAAAAGCAATTGGGAATGTTCTGACATTTTGACAGCGATTTTGTTTTAAACGTTTCTTAAACTTGAGTGATGAAATCTCCGCTGCCTAAAATTGCCTCCTAATAACAATGAGAGGAGTAACACCTGATGCCTGTGTCAAGCAGGTTTTCATTTGGCCAGATCACCGTATCCTTGGTAACGCAGCTTGAAAATCAAGATGTTTGAGTAACCAGAAATAGACAAATAACATGAAGCACATGAATATGTTACCGATAGTTATTTTAACTAAATTTTATTTTTAGTAAAATTAGACTATATATATTTTTTTTACAATATTAAGATAGATTACTTTAAAAGTGATTCTTTTTTTTTTTAATCACGAAAATTCAAAATGCAAAACATATTTTTTCTTTTATTAGGAATGCAAATGCTGATTTAAGTTGTGGTACTGTAAATGCATTAATTATTCACTGGATTTCAATTTTGCTATTTTCACTGATAAATAAAATTCGCTAAATTAAATCTATGTAAACATGTACAATAACAATAAAACTCATTGTTTCCTTGACAAATTCGTGAAATTAAAAGACAGTGAATATGCTCAAAACATCAAAATAGTGAAATAAAATGTCAATGAAAATAAATGGTTGTACAGTATACAGATATACTATGGTAGATTAATTTGTTTCAGCCCAAATTTGTTGTCACGGAAACAAAATCCTGTTGTGCTTCATATTTTGTTATATACTATTTGACCAGTGAAACACCAAACTCTTTTTGTTCATAAATTGTGAAACAGAGCTGACTTTGTCTGACCTTGCTAAAATTAAAATAACACCGAATAAATCTAGGATAGAGCATTTTTGAAAAAAAAAAAAAACTTTGAAATGTGCCAATAAACATGGAATCAAAATATAGGAATTTCCAGTACCAAGCACAGATTATAATTTTCTCTATTATCATCAATACAGATCTCCTTCAGCTGTAATATTTTATCACTTTAAAACTCTCTAATTTGTTATTTATGTTCTGTTTATCTTCTCTTCTCAGTGTGTTCAGAGGTGTTATATTCATGTTTGGTGATTAGATGGGGGATAATTTGTATGAAATCATCTGTTGAAATCAACAGTAAATGATGAAAGGTGGACGTTCCCATTGTTCGTTGTAATCAGATTTAAAATTGAATACGACAGGCGAGGGACCATTGAGAGGAGGATTATAGCGATAGTGTGTTAATGTCTCTAACCTTTTGTGAAGATAGCACATGTGAGGAGCAGATTTTGAAATTTCTTTTTCATATGTAAAAAAAAAAAAAACAACTAAAAAATAGACAAGTCTTTTCAAAGGCAGTGTATTCACAGTCCTCTTTGTTTTTTTCCAAACTTCTTACAATGTCCTTTTTTGTTTTGGACAGAAAGATCGTGCATGGCTGTAAGCAGGGGGGGGGGCATATTTTGAATTGTAAATTGTGTTTTTAACACTTGTTTTTGAATTCTGTTTGTTTGTCTATGTTTTGTGTAAGTAAGTGTGTTCAATGGATTGCAAGACATTCAGGAATGTCATACCATAAAATAACGTACTAGTGATCCAACTGAAAAAAAATATCACCAATCACCATGTAGCGGATAATAGCAGATAAGATAATCTCAAATGTCAACATCATCACTGCCATCCATCGAAATAAAAAAAACACATTATCAATTATCTTTTTTTCTTCTTTTTAAACTTACCAATTTATGAAGTTAATTCTTTATTCTAGTCAAGAATAGTGCTTACCGTCAAACTCACGGGAGTGAATTTCTAAAAGGATTTAAAGCATTGATCTTTGTGGCAATTGTGCCCTGAGAAGAGAGAAAAAGAAATAAAAGCCTTCTGATGGGGGGGATGAAGAATCTTTTCATTTGTTATTTCATTTTAATATTTAATAGATCTATAATTGAAATCACATCATTCAAAAGGAAAAAATGATTGAATATACATTATTTGTGTCTTTTCCTGTTGTCAAATATTGATGGAGCTTATAAACTAGGGAAACATTTTTTTCTTTTCATAGATATATTCAAGAGAAAAAGACAAGTGACAGAATTTTCTTCTTTAATGCCTTTGCACATCACTTGGCACAATAAGATCAGTTTCTATGGGAACCATGTATTCAGAGTCTTGACAACGTTAGGTTGTTTTTGATAGCGAGAGGATTTCTTGATGGCTAAGCAGTATATGCTGTTCTTAAAATGGGACTTTTCATAAATCTGTCTTTTTTTTGTTAATATTAAAAGAAGTATATTGATTAGCGATTAACCTTTGAAAATTGAAATGAGCCATAAATATTATCCCATTATTGTTACGCACTGAAATCTGACCAGTCATGCTGTTTAAATGTTATGTCACACATACAG